TGTTGTTAAATCGGCCCCAACAATTTTTAGCAGATCATGGATACCCCGCAGCATATCTGGACCATGTCATCATCATCATAATCAGGAAGAACTGAGCCAGGTTCAGTTTTCCAGAAACCATAGTATCCGACAATGGGCCTCAGTTCACCTTTTCGCACTTTGCTTAATTTTGTACGCTACTCGGCATGCAGCACTTCCGTTCACCGTATCATCTTCAATCTAATGGGCAAGCTGCGAGATCTGTTAATATTCTCAAAAGGGCACTGCTAAAAGCTGAGTGGGCGCATCAATTCCAGAGGTTTTGCAGGCTGTCCTGTTCACGTACAACTAACTTGCCGAACCACCTCGTGCTGCCAGATGGGTGGTTCGGGATTTTTCCGTTCCAGCGATTGATTTGGTGGCAGTGTTCCAGGACGTGGTGGGTTTTCGCCTGGCAAGCGTTCTCCCTACAAAAAGCCACATATGTTCGTTTGACAACACCTCGACGTGGCGGATGTGACTCGCCATTAGATAAGATCACTGCCCCTTACTTCGCTCCAGTGGAGCATTGTATTCCAGCTGCCAGCTGCTGTCATCGTGGGGAGGATTGGGCCCGTGTTTGATACTTGACCAAACGAAAGGCGTATGGACCGAGTAATGGGTCACCGGCTCCCAATGGGCGTGATTTCCTGAATTTGCCCGCTGCCTTGCCGGTAGGCTATTGAGCCAAAGCCTCGAGGTGGCGGCCCCCTAAGATACCCCCTTACTTCGACCTAGGCAACTAGGTAGTATCTCGCCTACTGATGAACCATGGAACTAAACTGCACTCTTCGCTCTACTGACGCTTTGCTCTCATGCTACTACTGCGAACACTTCCGTGACACGCCACTCGCTTATCTACACTTCCCCTGTATCATTCTTCCCCGGTTTTTGTCTGATCAGTCAACCATGAGCAGCATTGCTTCCTTCAATATCACGCTTACGCTCCATCCTCTGACATAGTCACACAACGCCAAACCGGGATTGAACAGTCCAAGATTCTCACCTCTCCGCTTCTGCAACCGAAGACACAGTTCAACTTGGCGGCGTTCAATCTACGCACCTTAAAACAGATTGGGCAACAAGCCGGTTTCGCGCGCACTCTAGAAACTCTTGCAGTTGATTCTGTTGTTTGCCCGAAACACGACTTCAGGATTCCAGCACAGTCTACCCATTGTCGTCATCAAAGCACCCTTATACCCGTTTCCACCTTTAACTTTCTGGAGACGCCGAGGCTACCGCTTCTGGGCAAGCTGTTGTTGGGGTCGCCCTTTGTGCCAGAGCCGAAGCCGCCCTTCTCAAATGTATTTTGATCAACAGTCGCCTTTTTGCTGTCAGGCTCCATGGCTCGTGCAAGCTTAACAGGCATCGAGAAGACAAACGTGCCCTTTTTGTACTCCGCCTATGCTCCCACTGACTGTAGCCTAGATACGTCAAGGACCAATTCTATCATAACCTTCATGATTTGCTCTTAAGGGCTCCCAAAACGGACATCATTATTATGGTGGGGGATTTCAACTCGCATGTTGGTCGTTTGATACCAAGCGAACGCCATCTTGGGGACCCGCATAAATACGACAACTTTCGCTCAGACAATGGAGAAAGACTACTCAGTTTGTGTGCCGTCCACCAAATTTACCTCTCCAGCACGAACTTTCGCCACTCTAGACGTCACTACGCTACCTGGCACGCTCCACCATCCTCTACACGTTAGTCACAGATTGATCACATCGCCATAAGTCATCGCTGGCGTGGTAGTATTCGGGACTGCAGATCCTATTGGTGAACATGCGTAGGAACTGATCATGCGCTACTACGTGCGTCGATTTGCATGCGTTTTGGTGACTCACCTAGGACTAGACAAACTCGACTTAACTCTGGTAAACTGGAAGACCCCGTTGTGCAATTGAAATATCAAAAGCAGCTTCGTGAGAACCTCACTTCTCCGCCTCCTCGGGACGTTGCTCAGCATTGGTCGCGATTGCAACAGATTGCTTTTAGCGGGTTTGTCCAGTTGCGGTCTTGTTCGTTGCGCAACTAAAAGTTGGATCTCGGCCACCTCCGCAGAACTCCTTGACTATCGGCGAGCTATAACCCGCCAGTGTGGAGCACGCTGAGCTTCGCTGTTCTAGTTCCAGGCAATTGAAAGCGAGTCTTCGCCGTGACCATGAATCCTGGTGGTTTAAACAGACCAAGGAAATGTAAGTTGCTGCCTCTGCTGGTAATAGCCGCAGGTTGTTTTATCTCATCAGATCCACCGGACCAAAAGTTCAGACCGTCTGTGAGTCAGACGGTACAAAGATCACCAACCTACACAAATGTCTGCATCGCTGGGCAGAGCACTTTGCTCTCCAGTTTAATTGCCAAACACAACTTCCGGTTACACATCCACTGCCATAATGTGATCCTTGTTCAGTCTGCATAGATACTCTCACTGTAGCAGAAATGCGGAAATCCAAACTCTGAAACGCCATAAAGCTCCTGGCCTTGACAGTCTTCTTCCGGCCTTATTCAAAGATAGGGATAACTTAGTTGTCACCAAAATTCTATCACTGTTCACAAAATAATGGAGCAATGAGAAGATTCTTAACTCATGAAGAGAATCTGTTGTGGTTCCGAACTACTAGTAGGGCTCTCGTAGTGAATGCACCAACTACGGAGGAATCTCACTTATATGTGTCGCGTCCAAGCTTTCTGTTTCCATTCTGCTGCGTAGACTCTCAGTAACCCGCGAGAGTTTATGTCGTGAGGAACAAGTTGGCTTTCGTTCTGGCCGTAGTTGCATTGACTAAATTTTCTCGTTGCGTCAAATTTCGAACATCGCCATGTCCACCGAAGACCAACATTGGTGGTGTTTTTAGATATCCGTGCCGTTTTTGACTCGGTAGATAGGTTGTCGCTGTAGAACTATCTGTTACGGAGCGGCGTTCCAGACGAGTTTGTGGTACTCTTGTACGAGCTATATATTCATACCTCTGGCAAAGTTAGAGCTTATGGCAGGCTTTCTTCTTCATTTCCCGTTACCAGTGGAGTGCTCCAAGGTTGTCCTATCTCGCCGTTGCTGTTCAACTTTGCCATTGAAGCTATCCTACACTGCGCATTGGATGCAGCCCAGAGCTGCGGCGTTGAGCTTCTACCCAGGAGCAAAGTCGTAGACCTGGACTATACTGATGACATCGCTTTGCTGGGGGACGACTCGCAGGCTGTTCAAAATATTCTGAACCGCTTAGCGATAGAGGCATCTAAGTATGGTCTGTATTTTGCTCCATTCAAGTGTAAAGCTTTGCTTCAGGATTGACAGGTGCCTGTGCCTATGCCCACCATTTCGGGTGTCGGCCTTGAGCTCGTTAACAGCCTTACTTACCTCGGGATTTGCATCACGGCTGTTGGCGTTATTGGCGGTGAAATTTCACAACGAATTGCTAAAGCTCACCTTGCATTTATTAACCTGAGACACTTGCACCGTCGTCGCTATGTCAGTTTCAAGCTAAAATGCCATGTGTGTACAATTCCACAGTTCGTGGTGTCCTAATGTACGGCTGCGAAACCTGGCCTGTTCGATTAGAGGATTTGAGACGACTGTCTACTTTCGACAACCGCTGCCTGCGTTCGATTGCTCGCTTAAGGTTGCAGAACCATGTGAGCAACACAGAAGTTAGAAGCAGAGTCATGGGAGCGCACAGTCATTGTATCCAGAGCATAATTATCACACCGCTTGCGTTGGCTCGGTCACGTACTGCGCATGCCTGCCCACCGCCTTCCACGTCGCGCATTATTTGCACTTCCTGGATGCGAATGGAAAAAGAACCGCAGCGGACAACCAATGACCTGGAAAAGGAGCATGAAGGTTCTATTTTCATGTCTAGCGTCAGTTGGAACCGTGCGTCTCCCAGGCTGGGGACCACGTGAAGCAGATTCCCACTGGTTGGAAGTCTTGGAGGATATGGCCCACAATAGGCGTCAATACTGTTCTACCATCTCTTCATTTTGTACTTTTTAATGTTGAACAAAACATGAAAATAGAAAAGCTGAAAACGGCGTGTATGAAACTGAAAATTTTTTTCTAACATTTTACTCTTTCTCTCTTCCTTGAACATTATATTCGACTTTCCCTACCACCATGTTTCGGATGGCACACTTGTCTGTTTACTGACTTGTGGACGCCTGACGGAATCACTCCTACTCAGGAAGCCTCGAAGCAAAGCCTCTTGACAGACACAACTGAATGGAATACGGCAATGGAGTATCAGTGCAATCGAAAGCATTACGTTGTACCGCGGCATTTCGATGTTGGACAAATGATGTTAGCAAAGAACTATCGGAACGACAAAATCTCCTGGACACCTGGATTCGGCATCAAAAGATGGTCATGTCTGCTATGAAGTGGCTCCAGGCGAGGACAAGTAGGTCCACCACATCAAGCAACTCAGGAAATGCATAACATTCAATACGAAAGATGTTCTGACCACTCCGCTTGCAATACTCCTGGACGAGTTCAACCGCACCATATAAGTATCACTAGCATGCGCCATGTACTCACCGTCTTTCCCGTTGAATAAACTGTTATTTGAAGGCCGTCTTATCAGCCAATCAGGACGATTGGAGCGACCTCGGGGACCATAACAGAACTCTATTCTCGGATGCATAATATGGTAACTGGGCGTCTTATGGAAACGCGGTGCTATCCTGCATAAACTGCTGTTACTTAGGAGACAACAGATTACAGGGTCTTGGTAGCCCTATCACATAACAGTACAACGTTAGTCCTACTTCACTGGTTCGCTGCCGCCGTACACTACTATTGCGGCCCAGTAGCTGAGGTGTTTTCCACCTCTAGCTAAAATGTATACTGAATAATGATGATGATATTATGTCTTGCACACCTGCACACTGTCACTGACCTCACCCGTTCCCTCTAATTTGGCTTCTTTGCTCCAGTTAGTTAATGATTAATTGATGCATCCGTTTACTTTGTTTTACAGCCCCTCCCATCTTGCCTTTGTTTCCCAAGGAGAGAAGGGTATTGGATGGGGACCGTTTGAGTATCTTTTGCGAGGTGTTTGGTCACCCCAAACCGACTGAAGTGAATTGGCGGTTTGCGCACATCAAACCAGACTCGATGGATGACACAGGTGTTTTACTGGACGCTAAAAGCTTCCTGGCCCCTCTTACTCCGAACTCCACCATGTACAAGTTCAGCACTAGCAGCGTCACGAACGACCAGCTCATCTTCACCAATTTAAACGAGTCTTTTAGTGGGCTTTTTGAATGCCAAGTCAACGGATCAATGGGTGGCGACCAAACTCTTATTTTGGTAAATGTGAAAGGTCAGTTAAATTCCACCGTCCTGTTTCTATGCTGTGATAGTTTCTCGTTACACCTTCGTTCTATCACGCCCCACCTCATCATACGATTTTTACTCAATCTCTTATCTAACACTTTTGAAACCCGTTTAGGAAATCCTGAGACCCGTGGTCACACAGTTTTCACGCTCATCCTGATGACTAATAAAGATAAATTAAACTTGCACTTATTAATCTTCTAAGGCCACTCATTGCAGATTTGCCATCAGTCTAAGATCGAGCATTCATTTTCCGGGTTGCTAGTGATAGCAATAAACTGTTGTGTTAGTGCGTCGCAATTCAGTGCCCTGAATTGTAAATTACTGAGAACCGTAACTGCTGTTGGCTAAGTCATGAGCTTCTGGCACTGGGGGAAACACTTCAGTTAGTCTGCGTTTTTTTACCCTGAAAAATGTAGAAGGGATTTGATATTACTCCCTCGCATATTTTCGTAATCTTGCCCCTCTTCTTGCTACTTATTTCCACTTTTCGTCTCATTTAAGTCATCGAACACCTGCTTTTCACATTTTACTCGTCACCTCATCATCATCATATCATTATACATGTCAGGTAGAGGTGGTTAAACACCTCCGCTATTGTACCGCAATACATCAAGGGAATACATACATACAATACATAAAGGAAAAATAAATACGACAGTTGCATGCCAGCTGAGCTACCAGCAACGGATAGGCATCGTTCCGGTAAGCTACCAGCCGGCTACTAGGCAAAAAACAAAAATTTAATTACGTTTTACCCTACGAAATAAGATCGTAGATGGAGGGGGAGGCTAAAGGGATGGGGAGGGACAAAGAAACTCACAACAGGAACGCCACTGAGGTCGGCTCCTTGCCATGTCAGCAAGTGTATCCAGCCAAACGTGTTCACCGTCTTTTGGACCCCAACCAGGGAGCCGTGAAGCTCCAACCGAGGCTAGCTCCGAGGTGAGGGACTTCATTCCTCTCGACCAAGTCATCGCTTGGCCACCTCTCCTCTTCTTCCACCGACATCCCCGGTGAGCAAACAACGCACGTCGAGGGAGTCGGTGGGCTGGCATGCGTAACACGTGGCCGAGCCATCGGAGCCTGGTGAGTGAAATGACGGTGCTGAGCGGTTCATTCCCTTTTCCTAGGCCGTAAACAAGGCGTCGAACACGCTCGTTACTCATGCGGTGTTCCCACCAAATGTGAGCCAAACTGCGAAGGCACCGATGGTCGAACGTAAGTAGCCTCTTCATGTCCGCCGATCTTAGGGGTCAGGTTTCGCAACCGTACAGTAAGGTCGAACGTACCGCTGCATTGTACACTCTACCCTTCAGGGCGAGAGTAATGTCGCGCCGTCGCCATAGGTGGCGAAGGTTAGCAAAAGCACTTCGAGCTTTCGCTATACGGTTCGTGATCTCGTCTTCGATCCCACGGGCGCTGATACAACTTCCCAGGTAATTGAATTTCTGAACGACTTCTAGCTGATCCCCACCAAGGGTCAGCACAGGAGGTGAACCCTGCCAATCCTGGAGGAACGCTTTGCACTTCGGTGGTGCAAAGCAAAGCCCGAAGCGACTGACAGCCAGTGCTAATCTGTCCAGCGCGGCTTGACACGTCTGGGAGCTGTCACAGATGAGGGCAATGTCGTCTGCATACTCTAAGTCAAGAAGTCGTTCTCCTGGGAGTAGCTCCACACCTTCCAAGTCATGTCCTATAAATGCAATCTCCGTGACTTCGTCAATAGCGAAGTTGAATAGGAAAGGTGACAGCGGGCATCCTTGTCTCACACCGCTGGAGATATTGAAGGGTGGCGACAGCTTGCCGTACGTCCTTACTCTGCCCGTGCTACGCGCATATAATGCTTGGATAATATTTACATATTTCTCGGGCACACCTTTCCTGAGTAGACAATTCCAAAGGGCACATCGATCAACCGAATCGAAGGCACCTTTGATGTCGAGGAACACGACTACGGTGGGCCGCCAATATGTGTGACGGTGCTCCAACAACTGACGCAAGGTGAAGATGTGCTCGATGCAGCCACGACCCCGACGAAACCCGGCTTGCTCCTCACGAGTCTGGCTTTCACGAGCGCCAGTCAGTCTGGAGAATTATGGAGGCGATGGAGATCAGACTGATTCCTCTATGGTTGCCGCATTCCGCGCGCGAGCCGCCTTTGAAGATGGGAACAATAACGGAGCGGCTCCAGTCGGTTGGGACAATCTCCTGCTCCCACAGTTTCACTAGTAATTCATGCAAAGCATCAACAAGAGCAAAGCCTCCAAATTTGAAGAGGGCTGGAGGAAGATTATCTGGTCCCGCGGCTTTGTTCAACTTTAACAGTCCGATCTCACGTTCGACTTCTGAGCGAGAGGGTGGATCCAAAGGGACAACCCACGGAGCGGGGCGATCAGTGACCGGCGAATCGAACAATTCTTGCCGATTAAATTGTTTTTCAAAATGCTCAGCCCAACGCTCCAGACGTTTTGACAAATTGTGGATAGGCTGTCCACTCTCGTCACGTATAGTTTCACTAACACCAGGTCTCCTGCTGCCCGTTTCCCGTATCAGACGGAATAACTTACGATGGTTGCCAAGGGCAGCGGCCACTTCCATCTCTGACGCACGATGAGACCACCAAGATTCGCGGTCTCTCTTCAGGCTAGCACGGAGTTTTGCCCGGAGCTCTTTGTGTGTTTCATTGTGCTCGCTTCCAGCCTGAATTTGCCGGCGAGCATCGATAAGTTCCAGAGACTGCGAAGAGACCCAATGTCCATGTTGTCTATTAGACATACCACATGAGGATTTGCCTGCTGCTAGTAAGTTCTGGCGAACATGTGACCAGTGACCATCAATTGTCTCCTGTGAGCGCTTGCTCAACTCGCATGTCAGCGTACTTCGATGCGCATTCAGAACAGCTGGCTTTGTCAGTTGGCTGGTGTCTATACGCTCACAGCGTCGTCTTGGGCGTCCGCCAAAACACATCCGCATGTCAGCACATACGAGTGCATGATCGGTGTCCACACATGTGCTCCAAATCGAGCGACAATTCTGGATGCAGCCTCTCCAGCGGTAACTTATCGCAATGTGATCGATCTGCGTCCAAGGCTGGTTCGAGGCTGGTGGGCGCCAAGTCACCCTCCGGCGAGTGCTGTGTCGGAAATTAGTGCTCGCAAGAAATAAGCGAGCATCTTCACACAAACGAAGTAACCGCTCACCGTTATCATTACGGGAGCCTACACCGTGTTGACCGCCCAGATGCAGTTCATCAGTGGACAACTTTCCAACTTGTGCGTTCATATCCCCCGCCAGCACAACAGTATCTGTGCTTCTTCTGTGGCTGGACCTTACCGTGGTGCGATGGTTTGTGTGCCTCAGTGATCCATTGAGCCATGCTGGGTGGTGCTTTTGCACCTTCAGAGTCACTCATACCAGATTGGTCAATGGTTAGAGGCCAGACAAACTCAGCCTCCTGTTCCTCCAGGTTGGGGGTTGGAATGAGGGTGGCACCTTATTCCTTAAAATGGACTCCTTGTAGCCCAACGCCAAACCCGCTGCCTTGCGGTCAGGTTTTTGAACCAAAGGCTTTGGTTGAGAACCCTAATCATTCTCCTGTCTAGGCCTGGGCAACCTGACAGTATCCTGCCCACGCAATACTATGAATTTTCCTTCAAACAATTTCTTGATGCTCTGGCCACCGCAGAGGATAATCACTCTAGCTGACGATCTGTTTACATTTCTACCTGCAGTTTTATAAGTCAGAAACGTTCCATTTAGAAGCAACTAGAAGCATTGGACACATTTTCTGCTGTCGTTTTTCAAGGACACTTTCTAAATGTGATTTAAGGCATTAAATTACTTGCAGAAAAGGCACTAATGCTTATTATTTTCAACTAATTTTTCCCAATATAAGTCTATTTTGTATACTTCAATTCTTAGATCACATTTTAGAAAGTGTCCCTAAAAGTGGACGCCATACCCTGCAAGCAACCCAACTGATCAGTTCTTATCTTGATATATCTGCTGATTGGTTGCAATGAAGTTGAACTGTAACGTGGTGCTGCTATCCTCAATTATCTGATCCATTAACTTAGACTGTGTGGTACATTTGACCACCTTATGACTGTTGCTACCAACCTTGTCTATGAATAAACTTGTGGTCTACTAACTTTTCTCATTCATGGGTTGGGGATTGTAACCCGTTTGTTCAAAAGTTGCCAATTTTGTAAACCCTTATCAACTCCACACTGCCCAATTGTGAACTTTTTAAGCTAAAGAATTTGTCTGAAGGCTTTGACCTTCCCCCTCCCTAGATTCGGATTTATTGACATTATCCCTGCGGAAGTACGACCGTGGTTATCACAGGAGATTTATCTTGCTATGGTCCATTAGTCGCTAAATCATTCGACAGCTATCAACACGCTAGTCCACACAGAATGTGTTGGCGTCCAAATCACTTGAAAAACAACTCGAATCACCCTGAACAGGAAAACTTTCTTCTGACGAGACAGAGTGTGTCTAGGTTCTCAGTGGTTTATATGCATTACATAGGTAATCTAGAAACTGTCAACAGGGCAAAATGTCCTTGGCTTAGCCGTGGTATCCAATATAAGTACTAGCCAATCAAATTCAGCAAGGGATTTCGGGCATTTCACTTTGAGAGGAATCGATGAAAGTTACCTCAATCGATTCGTCGGGATCTTCTTTCCTTAACATATCCTATATCGTCCATTCCCGCTGTATTAATGTGTTGTCTCAGCTTATGCGTACAACAGGACGGATGATCAAGCAGACTGCTGCTGGTGGTGGTCACCTTGTTTTTCTATTGGATCATTTTCTACTCTTGTTTCCCGCTATTTCTGCTCTCCCCTTATATGGTAACTTTATAGGGGACTCATCTGCAGTACAGCTGGATTTTCACCATCAGACACTAAAAACCTCCTTGGCTGGCCTTAACATTCCCACCTTAGAACACGCATAACATAGCATGGGTATTCCTATGTTCTGTCTCCCACAGAATTTACGACGCACTTACCTAGATGACCGGTCTCGGTGTCTCTCCTCATTCATCAAAGTACAGGCTTTTACAGATCGTCATTAGAAAGAATTCTCCCAAACATTAGAAACTATCGTTCGATATCTGCTGCTTCTCGGAAGCGGCCCGCAAGATTCGAGCTCTGTGCTCCCCTTACTATCCCTTTCAAGTGACACGGACGGCACTTTCTCACTGCATCTCCCTTCAGAGAATGCAGCTTAAAATGCCAGTCAAGTCGATGTGGACATTGTTCTTATTCTTTGGACTGAAGCCGTTCTTGTAGACTGGATCCAAATCGTTATCTGAATGTTTGCCTTCAGATTGGTTTGCTCGTTCAAAATTTCAACTCTTCACATAGACAACATATGTCTATTTGGTATTGCTGTCTACGCCCCCACAAACCCGCACTGTCTCGGGGAAGATGACCTCTATCCTCAACTATACCATCTCCTTTGTCACATTAGTAGAAATGCTATAGCACTGACTAGTGATCTGAACGCTCAACTTGAAACTTTGTTCACTGATGAGCGGCCAACACGGTATAGGCTCCCGTAATGATAACATTGAGCGGTTGCTACATTTATGTGATGATGTTCGTCTATCTCACATGAGCATTGGCTACCGATACACCGTCAGCCAGCCTTCGTTCAGCCACAGACGCAAATCCACTGCCTCACAATCGGCTACTACTGGAGAGGTTGAGTCAAAAAGCGTTGCTCGATTTGGAGCGTAAGCATGGATTCCAACCATGCGCTTGTATGTACCGATCTGCGGGTGCATTTCGGCGGACGCCTGCGACGACGATGTGAGCACATAGGTATCAGCTAACTGGCGAAGCCAAATGTATCGATTCCGTAACAGTACGTTGGTATGCGAGTTGAGTAGTTGCTCACTAAACACTATTAAAGGTCACTGGTCACACGTTCGTCAGATTTTTTTAGCAGCAGGTATTTCTTCATGTGGAACTCAGATTGCCAGAGTGCAGATGGATCACAACGTAATCACTGGACCTTCTGGATGCTCGCCGGGTAGTAACGAACAGGAGATTCGCAAAGACTTCAGAACAATACTGCGTGCTAGTCTGAAGAGAGACAGTGAAGACTAGTCGTCTCATCGTCCAAGATGGAAACGGTCAGTACCATTGTTAACCATCGGAAGTTATTTCGTCTGATACGGGAAACAGGTGGCACGGGACTGGGTGTTAACGAAAGTACGTGCGATGAGAGAGCAGAGCCTATTCATAACTTGTCAAAACGCTTAGAGTGTTGGCATCATCACGTTGATAAGAAATTTAATCGGCCGGAATCCCCACATTTGTTGCCGACCAGTGATCGTCTTGATCCTTGGGCCGTCCTTTTAGATCAGCCTTCGCTTGGAAGTCAAACGTGAGATCGGACTGTTGAAATTTAGTAAAATCCAAGCATCTTGCTTACTTACTCTATCTTTTTCCAACTTCCGGGGGGGGGTCTATTTCTGTAGACAAATGCTTTATTGATGGAGCTGTAGAAACAGGAACTGTTCCAACAAATGATCTGCTCCGTTATAGTGGTGGCTCACGTTCAGAATGCGACACTCTAGAAGCATCGGTTCGATATCTGTCGCCTTTAAATTATTTGCTTCTTCCGTTCTCCATAGACGAATTACCTCACGTGGAAACCAACTTCGTGAAGAACAAATGGGTCCTCGTTGAACTCGAAGCTGCATTGATCTTACCTTCACTATGCACCAGTTATTGGAGCACCGCCACTTATATCGGTGACCAACCCAAATACTGAGCCGGATTCGCTTCATATCGCTTCGCTCCACACTTGATCAAAATTTCACGTGCAGATACCCCTGTCTTTCTGCGAACCATCTCTGAATCCCTGGTTGTGGAGCCAATTTGAAAGAATAAGCTAGCGAATTCCATACCCTACAATCACCATTTGCCAATTATTGTATTTGTACACAGGTTTACGAGAACTACCTTCAGTAGTTTAACACTACCCTACTACCGAGTGATTAATACATCTTCTATCTTGTGCTGAAACGGATTCTTTTGAGCCTTACATGACCATATCATCATCATCATCATCATTATACAGGTTAGCTAGAGGTGGAAAACACCTCAGCTGCTGTGCCACAATACCTCAGCTACTCTGTCGCAATATGACCATATGTTTAAATTTGATATCCTTTCTTCATTTACCCACTAGTTAGTGGCTTGTGAAAAGGTCTAGGGAAACTACTATGGAGACCTACTCAGGTTGCTTTCTCAAGTTCACCTGGATGGGCGCAGCGACTTCGTCCACTTCAACAGTTCGAAATGGTATCTTACCTGACCCAAACACTAAGCCAGTGACAGTTTTATTAATCCAGTAGCTCTTAATTTCTATCTTTTCCCTCTATCTGCTTTTATCCATTTCACTTTTTGTCCATCCGTTGCTCCCTCGAACACAGGGCATTATGAGTAGAACAATGTGGTCCGTTGCATCCTGCTTCACGGCTCACAGGTTGACCGAAAGTATCGAGACCTGGTGCTTATCTTCCACCCATTCGCCCTTATTATTATTGTTAATGTATCTTATTAGTTTGTAAACGAAACCTGTCACATGCACATGGTCAACACTCAATGTTTAGGCGTGTGATATGCTTATGACCTGCCAATAATGGTGGCGATTCATAAGAACGACTTATCACCTCGCTTTTTGTTCCTTATCACAATGGCCACTCATTGAACTATTGTCATTTTCTGGGCCTGCCGCTTTCATCGCTCCATTCACTATTTTTATAATCGTTTCCTCTTCACAGATCGTTGGGCTGCTCTGTGGCCTTTCATAGGTATCGTGATCGAGGTCACAGTTCTAGTTACTGCAATCCTACTCTACGAACGGCACCAATTGCGTTCAGAGCCATCCAAACCGGATGCTGGAGTGGGGCCTACGCATGACGCGCCTTCTTCGAACGCAAAGATGAAAAATTCAGCGATGCAGCAGAATCAACAGCAAAACAACATGACCGCTCCCGTTGCGAATGCACCGGACTTGGGTGCAGACGCAGTGTTGGATAACAATAAGATCTCTGGTATCGAATCCGGGTAGGTTTGATGAGTGCTTGAGGCTGTCCAACTCCTATCTATTATAATGAATGATTTGCCTAACATTGGTGCTGATATTTTCCATTAATGACAATTGACAAAAACTAAGCGACTTGCTACGCATAGCGAAAAACATATTGAAGGTGTTTGGTGTTGCTGCTTCCCCAACACTAACCCCCTATGACCAGTTTTGTCCTGGTTTGCACTCATCAGATGGAAATAGCCTGAGCTGGGGTGGAACACCGAGGGCAGTAGTTCACGGCGGACGCCTTTACCACTTTGCCACTAAGATCCGCGAGCAACGTTTGGTACAACGGTAGGAATTTAAAGTTGCCCACGGATGTTAGTGGCATAGTGGTCAAGGCCTCAGCCGCGAATCACTAGGCTCCAGCTCAGGTTGTCTCCATCTGATGAGTGTAAACCAAGACGTAAACTATCATGGGGTGTCAATGTTGGGAGCAGCAACACCGAAACATCTCCAATTCGGGTATGGTCCTTGTGATCGGAATGACTGAGGTCTCATGTGTACTGAGATGCGGTTGACCCACTTGCCTCGACTGGCCAGATGGAGTAGTTGAGAACCATAAATAATGGGGCGAATGTGGGGGCGCAGCTAACTCCATGACTGAGGTGTGCCCGATAAGATATCTAACCACTGCTACTGTCAATCTCGAGGATCAGATCTCGGTAGGATTTTACATGCTTTCCAAGCATGTCATCCAATGCTTACTCCGAATTTTCATCCAAATACTTGCAATATTATTATTTGCATGGAATGCTCGGATGATGTGAGCACCTCTCCAGCTGAGCGGCTCTTATAGTTTTATCTGTTCGAGTGCACTCCTTTTTGTTTCCGGTCCAGTATGCTTGGATCTTCATGGTCATTCTGCAGCAGGAGTGTCCAAAGTCCGGCTCGCGGGCCAAATGCGGCCCATGTTAACATCTAAACTGGCCAGCGGCATCATCATGAAATACTAAATTCAGGCTTGGATTTTTTCGTACATGTGTACTTTTTGTTATTATCTTACTGTCAGACTGAATATGGCCCGACATATTTTTATATTTGGATGTTTTTATATCACAAAATGTGGCCATTCTCGCAAAACGTTTGGGCACCTCTGTTCTACAAAAATGTGTTGCGCACAGTGAACACCTTTTCTCAAACAGTATCATAGACGCACGTTTTACCTAATTTTCACAGTTCGTTTGGACGAGAGGTACTTCGAATTGAATACAATTGTGTCTAAAGTGCACGCGTACTGTACAACTACACGGCTTGACGTGCTGTCGCGATGACCTCTATTTTCGTTTATTCCTGACCAAAACATCGGATGTTCAAACGGATCGATCAAAAGCCTGCTTTTATTAGTATCGACGAAGTGCCAATTGTCCTAACCTTGATAGACCATCCATTATATACCAATAAAATGCTTCATTCAGCGCAATGAGCGGCGTGGTTACTTGCACTTTCAACGGCGGTTTTAGGTAGAACAGTTCCAATAGCTGAATTGACCGGGATTCATTTCGCGGCGCATCGCGGTCCAGATTTCCATTGCGTATTTCTATGCCTCAAAATGTTCATCTGATGAAACAGTGGACACTTTATCTTAGGAGGTAGGTAAAAATCATTTTAGCAAACGGATTCATGAGGAATGCTGTTAGTTAGCACAGCCAGGGTCCGCACATGAAATACGGACGGTTGTTGGCTGTCACAACGTCTTAAAGACGGTGCTCTACTTCCAACTAACATTACACTCAGTTGTGGCGCCTACAACAACAGAGAACCGCCCGCGATATTCTACTCATACCAGCTTTCGCTACGGAGGACTCAGTGAGCGAGGACATGTGAGCAGCCACAACATTAGCTAGAAAACGACCAAGTTGTGTTCCGATCGAAATGCACCACCGTCAGCGCAATACAACCTGCTCTCCCCTTGAGACCAGGAAACCCCATTTGCTCACCTATACCTCACGCAGTCCTTACCCCCAATTGTTGACTGGATCCCAATCTGTAGCCGAATGTGCGCCGTCAGGTGGGCTGGTTCGTCCAAAATTTCGATTTCGCGCGTGGACAATAGGTGTCTGTTTGACATTGCTGCTTACATCCGCACAAACTTATGCTAACTCGGTGAAGGTGACTTTTATCGTCAGCTACAGGGTTACTGACAAATTTTAAGTCTATTGATCGTTGAACCGCTTTTTAGCGTGATATTCGTATTTATGTGGATCGTTTCCCACAAGCTTATTGGTTCAAAAGAATGATAACCAACTTTGTTCTGACATCATCATATGAAGCGGAGCTTCCATCAGGGGGATGGGTGCTGTAACTTACGGAACCTGACATGGCCCCTGTACGCGTTCTGCGGAACGGTTTGATGACATTACACTTCGCACATTCGAAGTGCACGGTGGTGGTGGTGGATGAGGTTGACACATACCATCGATTGTTTCTGTCACGAAGCAGCCACTCGGTGTGTTGGACAACTTTAATTATATTGTTAGCCCTATCACCTCTGGGTTATTTCTTGCACTGGTAGGCTCTGTTTCAAAGCATCAGTCGTCTGTGGAATTTGCAGGATAGTAGTTGTATCGGAAGAACAGGGCGTACAACACCTCACTTTACTGCTGTGTGGATAAAAGGCGTAGCCACAGTGCTTCGATGTCATAGAGAAATCAACTAGTAAAGCTTGTTCGTATTGTTGGTGAGAGTATGCAATGCACCGTATTACACATACCTCAAGGTGCTTGCAGCAAACCGTGTGACGCCGCTATGAGAATACGCGAAATAGCTGAATTCTGTTGAAATGTGGTTCCTTTTTGCTCTTTTGTAATTTGTGAAGCAAAATTTATCGCATGAATCGAGACCGTCGGTCGATTTAGGCGCATTACTAGCATCATTTGTACGGTCACCGGTAATTCCTACTGACTAATTTGCGAATAAGAGAAATGAAGGAGTGAAAGTAAGCAGAGCTAAACGATATTTGTGACGGACTCACGTAGATTAAAGACTGCCTATTCGACGTGCACTACCAATAGCCTTTGATTTAGCAATCTAACCATAAAGTGGTGGAGTTAATGGAATTTGCTTTAGGTAATCCACCGAACCCTTTGACCTCATAATCTGCTCCACAAGGCAGTGAGAACACATCCAGTCCGGACATGCGATTGCAGTATCCCATTCGGATACACTTGCAGTCTTGGAAGACTCAATACAATCCACGCGTTTTTTCGCTAGGATGATAGGGATAAACCTCTGATCATGGCAAACCACAGGTTTGCATCATATAGTGCAGGTACCATTTGGCTTTAGTCGGTCGGTTACAAACCATTGAGTATGGGTGCGCTCGTTCCCCACATCAATTGAACTGAGCTCACAACCCGTACACTGTTACCTCCAAGAGCTGAAGAGGAACATCGACCTCTGGGTTATCTCTGATGAAGAGGATACTGGAACTTAGTTTGCCTGAATTCTAGCCACTGTTCCTTCTGATGTAAGTCGCTCGGAAGACACGGAATGTGCCATTCGGATATACACACCATCACGTCGCGCACGCAAGAGAAAGATGCAGAACCTTTCCGCCCTCCGCTTGCGAACTTAATCACTCAACGCTAGGCTAGTACTTTACTGATCGGAGGTTTTCTGGTTCGAGGTGCGCATCAATGTTTCAGAGCTAAATCTCAGCTCTCGTGTTCCCCGCTAATTGAGCTGAGCGTATGACCTGCACACTCCGAAGATGTTATTAGATAACTGTGATTTCGTGCATTTCTCAATCACAAGCATGCAATCAATATCTTAAAAACGAGGTGAATTGGTGGCCACGGTACATTCAGAATTAACGACAGCTGTTTCTGCACTCGGATTGATGGCAACTCTCAATCGATGGTGTTCGTTCCAAGTAGCGCTAGTGTCTATATTTCGACACGATGTACGTACACCGCAGCTTTGCGTTAATTCCCCTATACCGCTGACTGATGTATGCATAACAGAATTACCGAGCCCACTCCCAGGTGATTACGCAAACGGACGTTAGAATCCGAAGGTTGTACACTTAACACCAGTCTACAAATCAGTTTCTGAATCATTTACCTCTCCCTCTCATGTGATATTACATAAAAATCCCTTCTCAGCGTAATACTCCCTAGGATATTTTGATGTGTCTTTAAACGGTACATTTGGTCGTATTTCAGTCACTCGTTTGGTGTTACCTCACTCCAACTACCTAGTCCTTGTAACTCGCTCTTCTGTTCCAGAGATACGAAGCAAGATGAACTACGCCAACGTGGAGCCCTTCGATGTTAATTGTGCTCCACCGGGTCAGTTCCGCAATATGTCGGGGATTTGTTACTTTTCGGATCCATTTATCACTTTTACGACTGATCTGGTCCGTCGACGTGGCTTCATCGCAGTGATTCATACCCTCTCCGTTCCTACATGTGTATTCCTTCAGACACACTCCGTATGCTGCAAATCACTTCCTTCGAAAATTCAATAAGCACTCGCAAATAGAGGCTTATTCCTTTAGCGTTTCCTCTCCAACCTTGGTCGCCTGCCACTCATCCGTTTGTTCCGATTCCAGGTCACATGATCGTGAGCTCCATATGCCCCACACAGTCCGGTATCCTTGTTATAATTCAGGTCCAGACAATAATCACTCGTAGTTGTACCAGATAAACTCATTCTACTTCCACAGGCTGTTGCATTTCTTTTTCGTCGAATGCTTGGCATCCTGTATCGACCGCTCCTTCATTGCTTGAATCGGTACTCTACACACATTCCCAATGACTTAATTGTTGTCACTTAGCAGCGAAGTCATAGACTCGAGTCCAACTCGATCCGATCCATTGTCGAGTCCATCCAGCGTTTTACCACGTGTGTGATGCTAGCTGCGCCGAGCTTTCTCAATAACGCCAAAATATCCTACTCTCGAAAATCCTCCCTGATATTTTGTTGCTTCTGTTCGACCCGAACCAATGGGATCAACTCCGACGTTACTCAATTTATTAGCAAATTCAAGTTATCATTAATTCCTCGATGATCGGTCAACTTCTAACGCAATGAGACTGGACCTTTCCGTTGTGTGATAGTTTGCCTGCCTCAGCGATCCACTGAGCTATTGTTGGTGGTGCTTTTCTGCACCTTCAGAGCCACTCATACTAGATTGGTCAATAGTTAGAGGCCAGACAAACTCAGCCTCCTGACCCTGTAGGTTGGGGGTTGGAATGACTGTGGCTCTTTATTCCTTAAAACGGACTCCTTGTGGTCTACTGCCGAACCCGCTGCCTTGCGGTCAGATATTTGTACCAAAGACTTGGGTTGGGAACCCTACTCGTTCTCTTGTCTAGATCTGGGCAGTCTGACGGTATCTTGTCCACGCAATACTACGAATCTTTTCTCAGACAATTTCCTGATGCTCTGGACATCATAGAGAATAGTCAAAGTTGCCCTATCTGCTGCATCGAGCAGGGTGGATAGAGGTTTGAATGCTACTACTCAAGTCTTCCCGTCTTCTTATTCCTCCTCTTACGCTTTTTCACCCTTGTCGTCCCGTTCCAACTTTATTTTTATCCCCGCTCCCCAATTCTCAGCCCTCCTCCACCATGCTTCGATAGGCGTTTATCTTTTAGTTTCAACTCACATGCAAACGCGGAGCCTCATTTCTGCCCTGTTATCAAGCCCAATTTATCGCCTTCTATTTGTATATATATATATATATATATATATATATATATATATATATATATATATATATATATATATATATATATATATATATATATATATATATATGGTTGGCGGCATCAGGTTTCGGATTTGCCTGTCACTGTGGCCAGCCACAGGACGCCTGCGCCTACACAGGGACCATGGGTAGCTTGTGCTGCACCACCCACAGCTCCGACCACACACCGCATATCCAGTGTAAACCCGAAGGAATAAGACCGGGAAGCATGTGGATGGCAGCCACGTTTCATCAACGGAGCCGGCCCACACTGCTTCACAGGCAAACACAAGCACGCTGTATTTGGGGAGTCAAGCGCACACAAGACGGTGGCTGGACCGTAGTCCGCTCCACACTGAGTGCATGGAACCACTGTTCGAGCCTAGCACTGCCACAAGAACCGTGCACACCGTCCCGTCTAGCAACGACCCACTGTCTCCTAGAGACAGTATGGACGAGGTAGTGGGTAATAGGCAGGTAGGCACCTTGCCAACATGCACATCAAGCGTAGCCACACCGGAGATATCAAGCAACAGCCAATCACTTGAGAGAAAGCTAACAAAGAAAAGAAATCGATTAATGTATAAGGAAACGTGACAAGCTAAATGAGCATATGAAATAAGTTGTTAACAAAGGATCCGAGATAAGTTCAGGGGGTCAGAAAGTATATTTTACGGAAATGACACAAACACCAAAATATTATGGAACTTAACTACAATTGGCTTAAGCGAGTTGTGCAGGTTTATAGAAGAGCGTACAGGTGGACATTTATTTGAGAAAGAAAAGCATTATGACAAAATTGAAAATCCACCACCTGAAATAAAGAGACTTCGTATGCAAGCACGCGGTTAGTAAATCGAATGCAGCGTACCTACAAGCGCTGAGCTGGTTCTGCCTACGTTCTTTGTAGGAGCCGTCGTCGCTTCGGTAGTGGTCCCGAGTGGCCTCGCTCATGGCTCACTAGATGTGTTATATTTATATGCGAAAGAAAGGCATTAGGACAAAACTGAAAACCCACCACCTGAAATAAAGTGACTTAGCATGCAAGTACGCGGTTAGTAAATCGAATGCAGCGTACCTACAAGCGCTGAGCTGGTTCTGCCTACGTTCTTTGTAGGAGCCGTCGTCGCTTCGGTAGTGGTCCCGAGTGGCCTCGCTCATGGCTCACTAGATGTGTTATATTTATATGCGAAAGAAAGGCATTAGGACAAAACTGAAAACCCACCACCTGAAATAAAGTGACTTAGCATGCAAGTACGCGGTTAGTAAATCGAATGCAGCGTACCTACAAACGCTGAGCTGGTTCTGCCTACGTTCTTTGTAGGAGCCGTCGTCGCTTCGGTAGTGGTCCCGAGTGGCCTCGCTCATTGTTCACTAAGCCTGCCTGACTCAGGCACTCGTGACCGCATGTGCTACAGCACCATGCGCTTGATATCGATGGAGCACAACGTTGCTTGACGATTCTTTTCTGCATGTATGAGGTCATTCTCCCGCACGTCGGCAAATGCCTTCGTGATTAGATCGCGCCATGCACGCCGATCAACCGCCTTCGATTCTCATGATCTGCAATCAAGATTAGAACGTGAGAAACTCACTTTGATCATGTCCTGGTAACGTAACTTTGGTTTCCCCAAATGCCGCTTCCCAATACTCAGCTGACCATATACGAGTTGCTTCGGTATCCGCCTCGAATCCATACGCCACACATGACCGAGCCACCTCAGGTGTCTCAACAAAATTATGCAGTCCACTGCATACATCCCACTTCGTCGCAACACTTCCGTGTCAGCAACTCTGTCTCCCCAAGTGATGCGCAAAATTCGTCGCAAACACTGCTGATGAAACCACTCGAGATATCGTACATCCCGCCGGTACATCGTCCACGTTTCACTGCCGTATAGAAGAACGGACAGCACCATGGATTTGCACACCATCAGTTTCGTGCCAATGGTAAGCTGATGGTTGTTCCACACTCGGTACTTAAGCCTCCCGAATGCCGCCGCTGCCTTCGACACGCGGATACGAAGCTCACTGTGTATCTGCTGATCAGTCGACATCACACTTTCAAGGTAGCAGAAGCGGGAGGTGGTTTCCAATACTTCAGCACGAATGCTGATTCGCGGCAATATTGAAGATTGCACCTCCGGTGAAGGTTGAAAGAGACAGACAGTTTTGCTTGTGTTGATGGTGAGCCCGAATTTGGCCGATGTCGAAGCCAGAGCACTAGTCATATGCTGCAACTCATCCGCGCTGTGTGAAAACAACGCACAGTTGTCAGCAAACAGCAACATACGGATAGTTGTCTCAGACTAGAGTTCTCGCACCGAAACGACGGATGTTCAACAACCCACCATCAATACGGTGTTCCACACGAACATCGTAAACACAAGCGGCATCAAAAGCACAGGACAATATTGCGTGAAGATATATATTAAACAGGGCAGGAGCTATGACAAAGCCTTGCTTCACACCAGAGACAACTGCAAAGTCATCAGAGGTCTCTCCACTCAGCTGCACCCTCGCTCGCATACCACTGTGCAGACATTCAATTAAACTTACAACCAAAGTTACCCAACACCAGCCACAATGCCTCGCGGTTCACCATATCGAATGCCTTGGTGAAATCAACAAGAAGCGAGTACAATGGCTGGTGTCGTTCTCTGCGTTTCTCCTGCAACTGACGAGCCGCAAACACCATATCTATAGTGCTGCGACCCGAACGGAATCCACATTGCTCTTCCGCCATGTTCGGTTCCACAACCTGACTGACGAGGCTGTTGAACAGGATTCGGGCAATCACCTTGCCCACACAACTCAGTAAGTTGATGCCATGATAATTCGTGCAACATTGCTTGCTCCCTCTACCCTTGTACAGTGGTAGCACAAGGGCATTCTTCAGCTCAGGAGGCACCTCCTCCTCAATCCATGCACGTTGCATGGTGCATCGCAGTCACCAACGCAATTCCGCCGTGTTTCAATACTTCAGGCGAAATCCCGTCGGCTCCGGTACATTTGTCGTTTCGCAGCTGAGGAAGTGCTTTGTGCGTCTCATCCAGTGTCGGCATGTCCGCCAGACTCATCTTCACATCGTGCTGCTTCAGGCAGTTCAATGTAGGCCAGTCGATCTCTGAACGGTTGTTCAAGAGACAGTCAAAGTGTTTTCGCCAGATCTGCATTATGTCTGCAGTCTCTGTGCAGGTAGCGCCTGAACTACCATCGATCAGCGTCCTCAGTGGCTCCAATCTCGGTCCATACAACGCCTTCAAGGATTCCAAGGATTCCTTGTGTTGGCGGCGTTCGGCGTAGCATTCCATCTGCTTCGCCTTCTCCGTCCACCATGCATTTTTAATGCGACGGAGCTCTCGGGTCAGTCGCCGTTGAAGTTTGCGAAACTGACTACTCTTTCCCAAGTCACTGGGGTCTGCCACATGTGCAGCAAATGCTGCATTCTTCCCCGACATCAATGTGCCAATCGTCGCATTGTTCTCATCAAACCAATCAGGCCGCTTACAGTTTGCGCGCCCGATGGTCTTCTCGGCAGCAGCTGTCACCTGGTCGCGAATGTGGTGCCACAGGTCTCCCACTGTGGCTATGCAGTCCACATCACACAGGCGTGCAGCCATCGCCTTCTCCAGCTCAGTACGTTTCGCCACAGTACTGAGGGAGAGAATGTTACATTTACGCCGATTCACGGCGTATATATATATATATATATATATATATATATATATATATATATATATCTGCATAAATGTTGGAAGGTGACATAGCACTCCCCAGCCTCGAACTGGCCATTTACGCAAATCGATCACATCGCGATCAGTTGTCGATGAAGAGGCTGCTTCCAAAACTGCCGTTCGATTTCGAGCACATGTGTGGATACTAAACATGCGCTTACATACGCTGATCTGCGGATGCGTTTTGGCGGTCCCGTTTAGTGATCCTGTGAGCACATAGACGCTAGCAAACT